ACAGTAAAACTGGTACATTTCCTAACATGGATGTAGGTTTACAGGAACAAGCTATACCAGTATGAGGCGCCTTTACAGCAAAATAACTACATCCACACTATGGGTTTTACTGATTTAACTATGTCCGTTTCAAACCAATATAGTTAAAGTGGTACAAAGACTGTGTGTAGACAAGCCCTTAGTTACGCCACTGTGAACTGGGTTAGCTTGATTTACATTGGTGTATCTAAGAGGAGAGTTTGACTCATCAAGTACTATATAATGTTGTGGTCTCTCGTTCCCTCAAATACACAGGTACTGCTCCCAGGTATTTTCAGCAGAGAAGCACATTGCAGGAGCAATTTTCCTGGTGATAAAGCAGCTACTTTGTATCTCAGCCTGACAGGTGTCACATTGAAAGTGACTTCAGGGAGATATTTCCATCCCTGGTACGATCCCTCTGGTAGTGCTTAGTTCCCCCAGCCTGCTGGGTTACTCCTCCCCTTCCTCTAGGCGTGACACTTCTCACTTAGGTCAATATTGGTATCTCCCTGGATTGTTTGGTTTTCCTCTTTGGTGGCTGTGATCTGTAGGCTGCCCTGTGTGTTTGCAGCTCTCCAGACATTTTGCCTGCCTGGCCCCTCCCTACCTTTTCTCAGTGCTGTTGGAAACTCAAAGTTAATATTTTCCATGCAGTTCCAGGACAGGGTCAGCCTCCTCCAGTCCATTCAATGTCATTGCCATGAGCTAAATGTAAATCCCTTTAGGAAACGGGCAGGCACATGGGTATGTGGGTGGGGGCGATCCAATAGTTAAATGTAGCATGAGCCACCATCACAGAGTTTGAAGGGGCTGTAGGCTCTTACTATTCTTTGGGATTCCCAAAACTAGTTTGAGTTCACTGACCTTTCCCCCCTGTAATTAGATGTATTTTTTCAATGATGATTCCATCTTTAAAACACAAACTATTTAGAAAGTCCTACACTATGCATAGAATATTCTACCCCAGAAGGTAGACTGATACAAGTACATGCCCCATGTATATGTAATATGCTTGTGGAGTGTGTGTTTGGTCCCTCTCCAGTAGTCAATCCATGTAGAAGGTAATAGCCTACTACTGCTACCAGCTAAAGGAAGTACTCTTTCGGCTCAAGTGATAGAGGTGTATTCTGCGCTGCAGAAGGTCCTTGATTCAAACCCTGTGGCTGACATAAGTTGGATCATTGCATATGAATGGAGCAGGGTGAAATTTTTCAGTCAAAACTTTTCTGGGGCAAAAAATGAAATTCGTGTCGATTTCACTGAATTGCTTCAGTCCAACAAAACAAAAAACCCTGTGCACAAGTGGGAATGTTTTGATTTTTGATTCAAAATGACTTTTCATTTAGAAATTTCCTATCATTTTATTTTTTAAAAATGAAAAACATTTTAAAAGGCTCAAAATCAAAACAAATCTTTTTCAACTTCAATTTGCTAAAAATTTTAAAAAATGTCAGTTTTGGTTCTACCAAAAACTATTTTTTTTTTTTTAATTTTAATTGTCAGCAAACTGAACAATCGGTTATCCCCACACCTATTCCTTGGACCTTATGGTTTTCACTCCAATGTTTCTCTACCTCTGCTCCTTTTTTCATCTATTTGCACAGGCAATTAACCACTTTTCCCCACAAATCAAGCAATTACAAATTACCCTAATTCATTTCCACTCCTGGTTCCCCACTTTGTGTGCACAGCTGCAGTATTTCCATGCGCACGTTCGGTGTGCAAACCTAGGAACATTTTACACATACAGTTAGTTATGCACCTAACACATCATGCTCTCCAGGGCTTTCCTGCTCTTATTTCCTTTGTTAATCTGTGTAATTTTGTCATTATCTGTATCTAGTTTCTTGTAGAGGCCCTACTGGAGGAAGGAAAAGGTTACCTTGTTCTATACTGAGTCATTAGCACTGTGGTTTTGTGTGTGAATAAGTACTGCTGTTGCCTCTCCTCTAGGGGATTGTAACAGTTCTTCTAAAGGTCACAGCGCTTGGCACAGTCCTTAATTGTTCATGATACCAGGGAAATCAATGAGAGTTTGGCCATTTACTCTCGTTGGGCTCATTGCTTTTGCCTGTGTGCTCTAATTCAGCCTAGAATTCTGCACTCGCTTGGCATCACAGACAGAGCCAATGTTTCGGGGTTCGCTCCCCCGGCTCCGAAGTTGCTTTGAGTTGCAGGTGTGAATAATCCCCCCTCCAAAATGGAACATGGCCAAAAGTTTAGCCTAACATTCAGATCGAAACCACTTGATGTTGCACAAAGTTACCTCATTTTTGCATGCTGCCCACCGGAAACCATTACTTTAACAGGTTTCCTGATAGCTTTGAGAACCTCAGCAAACTTGGCCTGAGTGTGGGTTTCACAATGAGACCTGAGAGCAGGTATGGTTACAGAAGACAAACCCGGTTTTGGGAGCGGAAGACTGAGCCATCCCCCTGCTGATTACTCGGAGGCGCCATCTTCTGGAGACTTGTGTGAATGTCAAAGACAGCATTCAAAGTTATTCACTAATTTTTAGCATTGACCCTTTCATGTGGTTTTCTTCCTGATGCACACAATCCAGTGTGTGTGTTGGACTTCTAAATTACCCAGACTGATATTATAGGTCATCTCTTCCTCGCTGTCTTTATGTCATCCAAGGAACTCTTCATTCTTTAGAGCACCTGCTTCCATAGCATCTTCCCCTGAGCCGGAGAGGAAGGACATGCAGCACTCAACACCACTCCTTAGATCATCTGGCCAGAGAGGATCCTCTGAACAGATTTTTACAGGTATTTAGGCATTGAGCCACTCAGCTCTCTAAGTCACTTAGGGTTCATTTTCAAAAGTGGCTTAGGCATTGCCTTAGTCCCATTGACTTGCAATGAGATTTAGTCTCTTAGGGCTCGATCCACAAAGAGATGTAGGTACCTAACTGCCATTTTAGGTGCCTAAGTCCGAAACAGAGATCCTCAAAACCCAGTGTAAGTGGCTACATCACCGCTGGGCACGTGCAAAGCCGCCTGAGTCCTGATGCCGTGGAGGAGAGGGTGGTGGCGGCTGTGGCGTGCCAGTGGATTTAAGAGAATAAATAGACTCTTCAGGGTGTCGGGGGCTGACCCTGGGTGGAGGCAGCTGGTTCTAGGTTAGACTGACCTGCTTTCAGATGCTCTGGAGATATGTTAACTAATTACCTGATAAAGACGGTTAAGTTACTAGCAATTAATTATTATTAACACTCGTGGGTTACTTCAGTAGAAAACCACACCTGGTGGTCCCCAATGTCCTCCATTCCCTGGGCTATTAGGTGTAAGGGTTCCTCCTCTATTTTTTTGTGAGAAAAGACCAACCTACCGTAGGAGCCTAACTCAGGAGAAGGTCCACAGCTGAGAGTCCCCAGTCCCTAAGGGTATGTTTGCATTAGAGCTGGAAAGTGTCCATTTGGCTGGAGGAGACGTACCCAAACAGAAATGCAGCTGCATTACAAGGGGCTCTAGCCACCCACTCATGATCCCGTCCAAGACCGTAGGTTTGTCCTTGGCCGGCTAGCCCCTCCCATCACTCACACTGCTGTGGTCACACTTCTGTTTTTAGCGCACTAGTGTGATCAGCGCTCGTGTGGGTACGGCTTCTCATGCTTCCAGATCTAGTGTAGACAGACCCTACATCTAGGCCAAAGGGAGGTGCCTGAGTCCCTTTGAGGGGCAGGGCTTAGGCCACACACCCCTCCTCAGCATTTCCTATGGCTCCCCGCTCAGTGTGCTGGCTTCTGGGAATCCCATCCATAGGTGCTCCGCAGTCTCCATGCATAGTATAGAGAGCCGGGGCATCTAACTCAGGACTGGGGATTACACTGGGCGCAGGGTGTCTAAAATAAGATGTCAGCCTCACCCTTTAGTGGATCTAGCCCTGAGTGTCTACGCCTCTTTCAAAAATGGGCCATACACTTCTAAGTCACCAAGGGATTCTGAACATTTTATCCAATTCCTAGCCTCCTCTTCCCTCTGTGTTTAATTCCCAATTAATGGCTTTCCATTCAGGATCGTATCCCCTCCTTATTAACCCCAATCAGTGGGTTAATAAAAAGCTGTACGCTCCTGGAACTTTGCTGTGTGTGTGCTTTATATGCATGCGTGTGTGTGTGTGTGTCACGGTTGTCTAAGCAACAGCAGGTTCAACAACAGTCCATGTAATAATTACTGATTTACAGACAACTGCTGTGCTGGAATGGTGATGCTGTCCCTGAAGAGGCACCGTTCAGCTTTGCTGTAAGCAGGTGCAGCATCTGAAGGTGGCCATTTCCCTGAATGCAGCAGATTTGTCATTGTCTCCTAGGCCTGCTCATTAAATCCTCAAGTGGGTGGCTCGTTAAATCCTAAAAGGAAAGGAGGCCCATTTAGTCATTAACATTTGAAAAACCAAAAGCGCCCCCATACTGGTCCCTGCGTGGATCCAGCCCAAGTGCTCCACTGAAATATGTGTTGGTACCTGGACGTTCACTGCTTGATACCTGTTTTCACGTGTGTGTCAAATCTTGAGATTTGTTTTTACCCAGTCCATATGCAGTTTTGCCTGCGTATGGACTAGGTTAAAAATGGAATAAGGACCTCATGGTTTGACCCAGGGCAAAGAATCTTTTCTGCTTTTCTTTGGAGCAATTTGATTCACGGCCTGGTTAATGAGCCTGTTTTCTGATCTCCATAGCAATACAATAATCTTAAGGATGCAATAATAATATTATATTATAAAGCTATGTTTGTACCCCATCTCACCACAGAGGCCCTCGGTATTCTGCACACGTTAAAACACAGACCTAACAAGCATCATAAAATACACCTGCTAAGCCCTGAATGCACTGGAGCTGTGCCCCCCATGGGCTCCTGTCAAAGCAACTCTCCTTGTGCATTGTTAAAGCATTATGCTAGGTTCACCTGAATTACACTGGGCAGTGGGGTCTCTCTTGGAGAATTCCAGAGCCAGCAGCAGGGAGTGGAATGACGCTCCTCTTGTGCATAGACCAAGCGCTGTAACAGCTCCCAGCCACCCTGCCAGCTCTCTGCATCTCCTCTTTACTGGGAGGCAGATCTGCATCATGCGGACTGCTGGCTACATGCAGCAGAGGAGCAGGCTGACATTTCTGGCACTGGCAAATAGAGAGGAAACGGTTTTCCTTTCCCTTAAGGGCATGCGGATACCAGGTATGTTCCCATCCGATGAATTGAATGCAGCACCTCCAATCAGCACAGATACTGGGCTTCCTTCGGTGTCATTCCTCCCTCCTGTGGACTGGCAATAACAGGAGAAACGACCAGTTTGGTACTTTGTCATTGCTATCGCTTTTTGCTTGCTTTTGGGGTTTGATCTAAGAATCTGGTAATATTTGCGCTTACTTTCTGTGTGGGGGCTGCAGCAAAGCAAGCAGCTGTAACTAGACACGGAACATGGACTAAATGAGAGTAAGGAGAAGAGAGAGAGCAAGTGTAAGTGTGTAGTAACAATAGGTTAGTTCGGGAGCAGGATGTAGATTCGGTCTCTGCTGATCGTTTTATTTCTGTAACTTCACCAGGGGAAAGCACATTATTTCTGTGTAAGTGAAACTGAGCATCAGCCCCGGCTGCATGAAACGGTTTGTCAGCTGCTCGTGTTGACCGGTGCTCATTGTTTGTGTTCTCCTAAACTTGAAAGTCTTTGCCTTTGAAATTTGGCTTGTTCACGATATCATTCTGTACGGGAGCAGAGGGCAGTTTAAGTGGAACAGTGGTGACTCTGCACAGTTGAGTTACCTGGGCGAGAATCTGGCTTTGAAACTGTATAGGTTGCATCTTTCTGCAGGGCACCTCCCTTCCCCCCAAAAAACATGTTTAGAGACAGTTGTGGGGGACTGTTTGGGGATTGACTTCATGTCACCCTCTAGATGAATGAAAGGAGGGGGGTGAACCGCTTTTCACATCTGTGAGAAGTGCTTGTGTGCATCTTTATTTTGAGCAGAGAGGGGGGAAAAAGAGAGAGACTCCTCTCTCTCTTTTTGATTAACCTCACATCTTTTATTATCCTTTGCTTACTGAACCCAGAACTCGGCCGATGTCTCTGTTCTGCTAAGAAGCAGGTGAGATGTGTGGGTTTGTTATACGCTGGAAGTTGGAATCAGATATTGATAGGCAGTCCTGGAGATCGGATTAATAAGGGCTGAGAAAACGTCATGAATCTTGACACCAAAGATAGGTGACACCCAGAGCTGGTTTGGTTTGGAAAAATCTTGTCAGTTGGGTTTGGGTTTTGCAGTGATTTGGCATTGGTTCAGGATCAGGTCCTTTTCTGTTTGGACCCACAATGTTCAGGGGCCGTGTGTGTGCCTAGGGGTTCATGTAAATGGTTCTAATACAGGTCCCTGTCTATTTCAAACAGAGATGGGCAAAAACGAGTGTGGTGTGGTCTTTCTAAACCTTGTCATTCGAGGGTTTTGTAAAACAAACCTGACAACCCAATTCAGTCGTGGGTCCTATGTTTTGTTTTGTTTTTGGACTTCCAAAGTTTGGCAGATTCAGGCCAGTGACCCATCTCCACTTAGCAAGCGATGAGTTTCGATCAGAGTTTTTAAAATGACCGTGGGCCAAATTCATTCCTGGTGTAATATAGACCGACTACAGGGGTCTCACACCAAAGATAGCCTGCTGTGTCTAATTCTTCTGAGTGTTGTCTGTGTTGTGCTAACGTAGCTCAGTGCTCTTGTTCCAGGGAATAAACAGATAACATTGGCAGCCCTGAAACATGTTCATGCTGTAAGTGAATAAATACTACATGGTGATTGCTAGGCATTTTTTCTGGGCAGAGTGCAGGACAGGCCTTCACAATTTGGGGCACTGTGTTATCGGCTGCGAGTGTGCAGAGACTACTCCCTATCCTACTGACCAATGTTGTCTCGTTGTATCCTTGTGCTCCTCCGTCAGTTTGACTGTACCCATCTGTTTCCTTGTCTTAGACTTAGATTGTAAATTCCTTGGGGTGGGGACTGTCTTTTTGTTCTGTGTTTGTGCAGCGTCGAGCACAAGGGGATCCTGCTCCATGACTAGGGGTCCCAGGCAGTAACGCAAATAATGAATAATAATAATATAATCCCGGTGACCTGAACAGGGCAATATACCGGGGCCTAGGGTGTCATAGGTTCATGGTGGCTGTGCTAACATGGATAGGAGAGGTATTTTTGCTCAGATTGCTGCCTCCCATTGAAATACGTATGAGGAAAGGAAGATTCCATAAGTCTCCACCTCAGGGAGCTTTCCTGAGATTGTGGTGTGGAGGGACGGGATTTGACACCTCTTTACTGCGCACAGCGTACAACAGCCGGTGGTTCTATCTCCAGAGCCACAGACCCAAACTCACTGGACAACAGCAGACCAGAGGAGAATGTAACCAAAGATACTGGGTTGGACACCCTTACTCTAAAGAAAAGTGCCAATGAGTCTTCAATGAGGAGTCAGACCCTCTGTTTTTAATGTCTTATCACATGGATTCTCTCCCACACACCCAGTATAAACTCCATGGAACTCAACGTATCTACTTCAGAGCATCACAATTCCAGGGATTCTCAGTATTTCAGGTGCATTTTAACTCCTCATTAGACCAGAGGTTCTCTATTTGTGGTCAATGGACCAGCTGGGTTCCACCGAGCTCTTACTGGGTGTAGCAGGGTGGTCACCTGCTCCTGCCCTGAAGGGCTTGAAATCAGCCCTGGGAGAGGGCTGCTGCTAGCTAAAGCAGCCAGCCTCGGCTGATTGGGGAAACAGCCACAGCTGCCACCATGCCCCAGTCAGGGCCCAGCTGGCCTTTATAAGAGGGCAGTGGGCCAGGAGGACACAGTCTCTCTCTAGATGTTGAGAGGGAGGGGCCTGGGGTCTGGGAGGGACACGGGGCTCAGCGGCAAGCAGGACACTGGCCGGTGGAGGGTGTTCCAGAGGCTGGAAACATTAATTCCCTGGACAACAAGCAGGAGGCGCCGCAGGGGTGAATCCCGCCCCCCCCTCCACAATGTGGTGGAGAATGCGGGCATAGGCGGTCCGCCCCGATACAGGGGGCAAGGGCAAGGACTGTTGGACTGTTGCCCGGAATCTGAGTGAAGGAACTGAAGGTGGAGAAATGAGGGACTACTACTGGAGAGCCTGTGTGGCCCGTCTCGCTGAGCAGCAAGCAAGGCTGCTACAGCTGTTGCGGGGGAGGGCACATAGCTGTCATCGGGGGCCAGCACCTTGGGCTGGAGGCTGGTGCCGGGGCCTAAAGACTGTTTTGCCTGTGGGCGACCGGGGCACTATAAGAGGGAGTGCCCCTATCGGGATGGAGCAAAGAGGCTCTGCCCAGGGCATTGTGGAGAGACTAGAGTGCCCCCTGTGAAGCCAACAGGGGGGATCCAAACTTGTTGGGTCTGTGGGGAGCCAGGGCACAAGAAGAGGGAGTGCCCTCACGGGACTCACAGGGCCAGGCCTAGCCCGCAGGTGGCCCAAGGAATGCACTGTGCTTCCTGTGCCACAAGGGTGGTCAAGTAAGACGGTCTTGCCCCCAGAGAAGGAGGGAGAGGCCAGAGGATCGGGCTCGGTCTGAGACTACCCCAAAGGAGGGGGTGGTGAAGACCAGGGGCCCAGAAGAGAGGGGGTCTGGGGCAGAGAGGCCCCAGCTCAACAGGAGAATCCACGTGGAGGTGAGACAGGCCACGGTGGAGACCCAACCAGAAAGGGAAACCCACCTGAGAGCTAAGCAGGCTACAGTGGGCGCCCAAACCCTTCCAGAGGGTGGCCAGTTGCTCCTCATGCTGGTTCATGAGCCTCAGTCTGCCCCAGGGAACAGGGGCTAGATGGTGACTGGCAGTAGCCAAAGACTGAGGCGAGGTGGGGATAGAAGATGGGGGTTCCCTGGGGCGGTGGGGAGACCCAGGTCTGTGGGGGTGCTGCCAGGGGCACCAGCGTCCAGGAGGGATGCGGGGCCCAGCGGCAGGTGGGATACCAGCCTGCAGAGGGCGCTCCGGAGGCTGGAAATGCTAATTTCCTGGACGACCAGCAGGAGGCACCACAGGAGTGAGTCCCGCTCCACCACACTGGGTCATCTGCACAGTTGGCTGGTCACATGGGACTGCCACCTCCTTGTTTCCACCTTCTAAGCAGCATTGAAAAGTGCTTAAAATACATTTCCATGTGAGCAGTTGCTATAGTCACCGTGGGGATGATGTATAATTATGAAGAGGAGGAGGTGATGGTCCCCGCAATAGCAAATGGAAGAGGATGCAGCTCAGTGGGATAATCTGTCTAGTAGGAGGTGGTCCACACTATGGAAACTAGGAAACGGAGAAGGCATTGTACTGTTGTTTGTTGTTTGTCTGTCTGGTCGTTCAGCCTGTAAGCTCTTTGGGGCAGGTGCAATCTTTTGGTTTTAATAGAGTTGAAGTTTCGTAGAGTTTATGGCTAGCCTTGATCTTTAGATTATCTAGTCAGACCCCACGCCCAGCTCAGTGGGCCCCGGCCCTGGTTGGGGCCGTTAAGGTACTACCAGATAAGCATATTAAAACACTTGAGAATCTTTGGCTAAGCCTATTGAGCCTCCCTCTTCATCACACTTAAAGCTGTCCCATGCTAAATGGACACCCAACAGGGATTTTAGGCCTAGCTTTCTTCTCTGATTTTGCCATTTGTCCTCCTGTAGGGAATGCCTGAAGAACGGGACCTTATGACTCCTCCTCAGTCAGCTGATGTCGTGGATGAAAACCTCTCTGCTTCCGACTGCCCCGAGCCCTGGATCGAACCTACTTTCACCCTAGCAGCCAGGGTCCGTGTGATTGTCACCATCTGCTTTTTCTTGATAGCAGCATGCAGCAACTCAGTTGTGTTATATAGCATCATGAGGAAGAGAAGGAAGTCCCATGTCCGGCTGCTGATACTGAGCTTAACAGTGGCAGATTTACTGGTGACCTTCACGGTCATGCCCCTGGATGCTGTGTGGAATGTGACAGTCCAGTGGTACGCCGGGGACCTGCCCTGTAAATTGCTGAACTTCCTCAAGCTCTTTGCCATGTACTCTGCAGCGCTGGTGCTTGTGGTTATCAGCATAGACCGGCACTCAGCCATCCTCCATCCCTTTGCCTTCGCTAATTCCAGTCGACGCAACAGACTCATGTTATATGTTGCTTGGGTCATGAGCCTTCTGCTGGCCTCGCCCCAGGTATGAGCACAACGCCATTGTCAAGCTGGGGTCGCTTCGCACAGGAAGTGTCACACTTCAGAATAGGCAAAAGTGAACAGCCACCTTGGGCTGGGCGAATGGTTTGGGTGATAATCAGTGATCAAGAGAAAAGGATGGTCCAATGGTTAGGGCACTAGCTGGTGACTTGGGTTCAATTCCCTCCTTTACCATGGACTTCCTCTGTGACCTTGGGGATGTCGCTCAGTGGCTCTGGGCCTCAGTTCCCCACAGTGGGGATAATAGCACTGCCCTGCCTTACAGGGGAGGGTTGTGAGGATAAATCCATTCGAGATTGTGAGGTGCTCAGATACTGCAGTGATGGGGAGCCATCTGCAATACCTAAAACAGACTGACAATGTGCCCATTATTTTCCAAGAGGAATCCAGGTCCTAACTTGTTGCTGAATGTTGAGGAGTTCAGGCCTGAGATATTCTTGCAGCTGGCACAGATCCCATCTCAGCACAGCTATAGTTGGGAAGAGCCTCCTGGTTTAGTGCCCTATCCCCAACACACAGGGAGGTGTTCAAATCCAGTTAAGGTTCAGGTATGCAGATGTTGAGATAGATAAAAAGTGGGACTTCTAGGACACTTATGAACAGAGGAGCAGCCATACAGGGTCAGACCAATGGTCCATCTAGCGCAGTATCCTGTCTTCTGCCAGTGGCCAGTTCCACATTCTGCAGTGGAAATGAACAGAACAGGGCAATTATTGAGAAATCCATTCCCTGTCATCCAGTCCCAACATTTATGTTGCCCTTCTCTGTCCTCTTTGCAATTCTAACATAACTTTTTTGAGATGGGGTGACCAGAACTGCACACCAGTATTCCTGTTCGCTTTTTTGACTGCTGCTGCACACTGAGCAGATGTTTTCAGAGAACTAATTTTATGGACGTTAACTCATTCATCGTCACCAGACCCTAGGGAGAATGGTAATTGTTACAATCTCTATTGTACACTGGGAAAGTGAGACACAGGAAGGTGAGGTAATGGGTCCAGGAACTTGGAAGAACTTGCTGCCTGAGCCAGGACTATAACTTGGGAATTTCTGGCTTCCACTCCCATACACCATGCCTGTCTCTTGAACCGCTCCAGGTTCTCCAAAGTCTATGGTCAGTGCATTCTCCAGCTATTAGAGTAACCTGGAACTGAGCCCTTCTTTGCTCACTGCCCCTTTCTCATTGTTCCAGCTTGTGAGGAAGAGTGAGTCAAAGGTGGTGATGCTGTACCATGGCGCTGCCAGAAAATGTCAGTTGAAATTTCGACCGGGCTCAGCTTTGGAGGCAGTAGCTCCTAGAGTCCGTTAGCTTCAGTGGGAATCCATTAACTCTTGAACCCCATTCTTTGCATGGAGATGTGTTAGCTATTGTATTCCATTCACTTAACAACTTCTTAGCAAACGCGCAACTTGACTAAGGTGGCACCGAATTTGATCCGCTGGTTGGATCATTAGCTTCCCTGGCCCAGGCCAGGTACTGAGAGGGGGTGCAACATGAACGCTGATCCATGCCCCCCATTCACTTAACTGGGAATGCATTTGCTATAGAATTCTATTCTTCCTGTGATGTGAGCTGATCTGAAGTTAATGAAGCTGTGCTGGTTCATACCAGCTGAGGCCCTGGCCCCAGATTTCTACAGGGATAAATTTGCTATTGGTAGATCTTTCTTAGTGACCTACCTTGCCTCCACCTTATCTGCGCAAGGAAGGTTCAATACGAGAACTACACACAGGTCAGCTACTGATACAATGGCCAAGCATCCAAAAGATAATCAGATCCATAGCTCAAACTACAGGCCAGATTCTGCTCCGTTATGCACAAATGACCTCATTCTTTGGGTTGACCTCATTCAGATGGGAATGAGAGCAGGATTTGGTCCTGTGGCTTTCGGATTTCATGACGTGCAATGGGGTTGATCAACACAGCAACTGGGGTGCCCTTGTTTAACTCCCTGTGGAGGATGGATTATTTTGCAATGTGCAAATAAACCAAGCCTTTGAGTCAGAGTGAAAACATAATCACAGAACAACAGGTGGGGTGTTGTCACTTTAACACTAAGCGTACATCTACTGTGTAAAAAAAATGCCTGAGTCTGCTCACATCAGAGCCTGGGTCAGCTGACTCAGGCTTATGGGGCTCACAGTGCGGGGATTAAAATAGCAGTGTAGACATTCCTGCTCGGGCTGGAGCTTAATCTCTGAGGCCCAGCAATGGGGTGGGTCTCAGAGCACAAGCTCCAGCCCAAACGGGAATGTCTATACTGCTGTTTTTAGCCCCGTATCACAAGCCCAAGTCAGTTCACCGGGGCTCTGAGACTCCCTGCCATGGAGTTTTTTTCTGTCGTGTAGACGTACCCCCAATGATTGCTGCAGGTAGAGAGCTTCTGTCCCATATTGGTCCCATCAGAACATCTCTTTGCCATGTTCCTCAGCACATCTAGCAAGCCTGAGGAACTCGACTAAGCCCACTGAGCATCCCCAACTGCAGCACGTACAGTTTCCCAGTCCAGTGTGGGTGGAGATTTGAAAACCCTGCTGGCTTAGATGGTGCTTCTGGCTTTGTCAGTGATGGGCTATTTTGCCAAATATTTCCCCCAGTTGTTACCACTCGCGCTCACAATGGTCGACACTCTAGAACGGCCACATTGCCAGTGATCACCAGCATCTTAAGCCAACGTGTTGGCAAGACCTGCTCATGTCAAGGTTAAACGGCATGGTGCTTAAAATGCCATTGACTGCCTGCACTAACCCCCCCTCATTGCTACCCCCAGCGGCGCTGAAATGCTGGCAGTAACGGGAGAGAATGTCAGCAAAAATACCCAGTGTGACCAGCTCCACAGAGCACTCTTCGAGACAGCCAACGGCATTCTTTCAGTGGGAAGGGGTAGATGTGAACCATGTTATAACTACACTGGGCTGCAACCACCTTGCAAAATGGCTTCAAATGCAATTACTACAGGTGCTGTAGTGTGAACAGGGCCTACAAGCCCAGAGCTAATCAGCTTTCACCCTGCGAGCCCCCACCCCCTTTTGGGGAAGCTAGCCACGCGTCCCCCACTTCCTTCCGCCTGAGGCCCTGCCTCTATTGCCCCCTCCCTCTGCCAGAGCCCCGAGCATCCCCCACCCCTATGGCCGGAGGAGCGCCAGCTGAACCGCCCTGGGCCACCAGCTGCCCCAGTGCCGGCCCCGGCACTGGGCTGCCAGCTGGCCCCAGCCACCTACTGGTATCCGGCCCGAGCTGAGCTCCCGCCGGTTTGGAAGAGAGGGTGGAGCGTGGGCAGGGCCAGGGCCTCGGTTAGGGGAGGCTTAACCTCCCCAGGCCTATTATACCTGCTGCTCCTGTTCTAAATACAGTAGTTTCATCAGTGCAATAGTCAAAAACACCCAGCAGGAAATGTGCAGTAGCGTAACGCTGTCACTAGCTACCTGTATGGTGGAGGAAACCTGCTAGATGATAACCAGACATTACCTCTTTGGGCCCAGGTCCTCAAAGGTATTCAGACACCAAACTCCCATTGAAATCAAATGGAGTTAGGCACTGAACTAGCTTTGAGGAGTTGGGCCTTGGTCTCGCATATCCACAGTATGGTGTGTCTGGACTATGACTGCTGTAAAATACTTAACCTGTCCTCCTTCCAGTGCGTATTCAGTGTACAAATTTCAGTGCTGCAAGGGCAGCCAGGCTCAGAGACTGAAAACATACAGGGATTGGCATTTTAAAAGGCTAGTATGGAGACTTTTCATTCAAAAGATGCTCCAGCGTCAGACAGTGACAGGAACGTCTGACACTAATGGAGATAAGTGGGGTGTACTGTCAGCCCAGGACAGGAAGCCGCCATCGAGTGAAAATAACTCTTAGGCCAAGTATGTTTTTGATAGTGGAATAATTTTTATCGTGGAGAATAGCGTCATAATACTTAGAAAGGAGAGACAGATCCACCCCAAATCAAGGACTTGATCTCTGATTTATTTGTAAGAACCTGGCTTGTAGAAGTAATTGATGTGTTTGCTAGTAGTTGGTTCCATGTTGTCTATTGGCACAAAGTAAGAAATAATTACAATAATGGCTGAGGTTTATGATCGAGGCCTGGCAAAAACCACAACAAGCTTTTAATTCCAACAGAACCCATTTCTCACCAGCTCCAGCCCGAATGTTGCCGTGTCGTACTCGTGCATGAGGACTGGACAGTGGAATTGACCATGAACGGACCAGACGATTGCCTGAGATGAGTGATGGGCTGAGTCAGCAAAGAGCGTGTATGATGAAAGTCAATATGCATCCTCATGCTCTGCTGATCAGAGATAGAACAAGACTTAATGTGGGGACAGATTATTCCACATCTGCTACTGCAGGGTTCTAACACCTTCCTCGAAAGCATCTGGTGCTGCCCACTGTCAAAACAGCGTTTTGAACTAGATGGACCTGTGGTCTGACCCAATCCAACAAACCCTATGTAATAAGACTTTCTAAATTCTTTTCAGAGTAACAGCCGTGTTAGTCTGTCTTTGCAAAAAGAAAAGGAGTACTTGTGGCACCTTAGAGACTAACCAATTTATTTGAGCATGAGCTTTATTGCCGGAAGGTGTTCCCAGTAAGCCCAGGAAGGAGATTGTCATTGTGACAGTGCCCCTTTAAGAACGATCTCTGACTAAGTGTTTCATTCTTAATTTCAGCTTTTTCTTTTTCACCTGCACACTGCCCCGGGTGTCAATTTTACCCAGTGTGTGACACATGGAAGTTTCCAAGAGCACTGGGAAGAAATCCTCTACAACATGTTCACCTTCACCACCCTCTATGTCGCCCCACTGAGCGTCATGATTGTCTGCTACATCCGCATCATCTGGGAAATCAGCAAGCAACTGAAGATCAACAAGGGTGAGCAGGTTACGGCTATTGAGCATTCAGCATACTTCCATGTGATCTTATTGGTATTGCCGAGACATTGTAATTTTCCCCATCATAGGCATCTCTTGCATTATCAGCATCATTGCCTGACATCTCCAGGCTTAGAAAATGAGAAATAGCAGGTGTGTTTCTGGGGATGGCAAGTCCCCTCTGATGGAAAATAACAGACAGCTAAACAGGGGAGCCTTGTATATTATAATAGTGGTGAGAGAGACTGCACAAATGGTGGAGAGGGGTGCAGAGCATGGAGTCTGCCACCTCTCTCTGCCCACTTCTTCCAGGAGTATTATGGAGACCTGCTACTGTCTCCTTTAGGCCTGGCGAGAAGAGATGGGGAGGGTGTGCAAGGCCCAGGGCAGCTTCCTCCTCTTTTGACTCCTGCATGGCTGGGTAGGGCCAGGCCTCAATCTAGTCAAGTGACTTTATAGTGATGAAAGACAGCAGCCTTGAAAACGGACATCCTTATTCATCCACCCCTGGGAGAGGCCCAACCTGCGCCTTGTGCATGGCCATATGTCCCAGTGAAGCACACCCCAATACAGAGAGCCACTTCAGCCCTGCGGTAACTCAATTCAGCTGCAGTTTGGGCTTAATCCAATGCTCACGGAAGTCAATGGAAATGCCCCCACTGACTCCAGTGGTCTTTGGATCAGGCCTAAGCCTTGAAGTCAAACTCTTACTGACTTTGACGGAGGCTGGGCTGTGAATGTTGGTCTCTTCCTGGTTGTATGCTGTTGTGTTGTATACAATTATCCCTTTGACTCTTCCCGGCAGGTCTAGCAAGAAGCAAAAACAACCACATCTCCAAGGCGCGAATGAAGACCCTGAAGATGACCATTGTGATAGTTGCCTCCTTCATTATCTGCTGGACCCCATATTACCTCCTGGGCCTGTGGTACTGGTTCCAGCCAGACATGATTCAAAGCATGCCGGAGTACATCAACCACAGTCTCTTTCTCTTTGGCTTGCTACACACGTGCACCGATCCTATCATTTACGGACTCTACACTCCTTCCTTCCGAGAGGATATGAAGGCGTGCCTTAGAGGAATAGAAACAGTAATTACAGGGCAGGAGAGAAACAAACTGATGTCCAGTTCTGAGATGAACATAAAGGACTACATTATAAATGGCGGAGCAGCTTCGGGCGCTTCCAACGGCACAATCATCCACACGGTCTGCTAAAGAAAAGCATCCGGCAGGAGAAAAGGAACTCTGTGTGTTCTTGATCAGGGGCATTGTGTTGGCCAGTAGCTCCTATTACGGTGACTGCCTGGGAAGTACAGTACTAATGCTGGCATGTCGTTCAGTCACCCGCCCCTCCTGAATTAGGTTTGAATGGAACAGTCACCAGAAATTAGTAACTTCTGCGGCTTCTGCCGCACTCATGCTGAGTATCACCGTGCTCTCCAAGGGGTCCCATTGATTCCCCCTTATTCCAGGCCTGGGCCCTTGTGCTCTGCTTCCGAGGACCCCTTGGGACCATGGGAGAGACTCAGAGAGGGGCTGGTGTCCTGCTACTCCACCAGCTCTGTAGAAGTCTTTTGCACATATCCTGTTCCCCACGGGCTGGTTCCACCCCCTTTATAGCCTTTTCATGCTGCTCTTGGGCCAGGTGCAACCTACTGTGATGGATTCTAGAATTCAGTATCTGCCAGCCCCCTGCTGCCAACCACTGGTTTTCTGGAAATATACGTTGACTTCTAAAAAATATAGAGGAACGGCCAGATTGGCAAAAGAGCATCCTTTCCTTTTTGCCTTGGTGGGATCATTCATGGGGCTAACGGTACTCAGCTGCGGAGGTGTTTGCAGAACAGGCTCACGGGCCGGGCGGTTCTCACGGTGACTTCCATGACAAAAATGAGACGTTTCAGGTTTTGTCATACAAAGTCTTGGTCTTGTCTTCCCGGCCAGCCTGCTCCTGACATCACCTCCTCCGTGAACTTCTACTCAGCTGTCCCGTATTAAAAGCTACTCACATGACTCAGTACGTACCAGGCACCAGCCCTAATTCTTCCACTGTCATTCCTGTGACTGTTTTGAATCCCTGGAAAGGGAGCTTGTGCTTGTTTGGTACTTTCTGATATATGTAAGGTGGAAATAAACGGTCAGTGGATTGTTCATGGGAAACCCTTAGCTGTGTCCATGCCATGCACCGGCACCGGGAACTCTGAGTTACGTTCACCTTTTAATTGACATGATTACAAATCAGATATGCCAATGTGGGTATTTTAATAGCTTGTGGACATATGGTTTCCTGCCTGATCAGTGCAGAGTACCAATGTAGTTCATCCCTGTTTAACCTTAATACAGCGGAAGCCATAATATGCCCTCACATTTGGGCCCAGTGATGCAGAAGGTTCCTGGAGCTTAAACTCCTCTTCTGGCCAAATCTGGCATTCCCTCCAGAAGCAAAACTCCCTGAGGTGGGAGTTTGGTCTGGGCAAAGACTGAAGGATCAGCCCCTGGTTGTTTAGTTGTTGTCTGCATTAAAGGATATGGTAATCAAGAAAAGAGAGACACAACCCCCTCATTGAAAGTCTGTGTCAAAAACCCAGTCCAAACTCTTCCTTCTGCAGCCCTAGGCGGTCACAAAGTGGGGATTGCCACCTTGGCTTTACAGAGAGCTCCGCCGTCTACACTTGCAGTTTAACTAGTTTAAGACAAAGGCTGCTGTGGCCGTTGATTAGCTGTGTCGAAGGCAGCACCCCCCAGGAGATTCAAAGTAGACCAAGACAGGAAGAGCTGCGCCCTTAGCCATTCTGGGGAATGAATAGCTTCACCTCCCACAGCCCCATATTTTGCTGCCTTGGTGTAAATTTTTTAACTGTGACCCTGGAAATGGAGGTTGATGATTCGCAAGCTAATGGGCTTCAGACTAGGGCTGTCAATTAATCGCCGTTAACTCACACGATTAACTCAAAAAAATTAATCATGATTAAAAAAATTAATTGCGATTAATCACAGTTTTAATTGCCCTGTTAAACAATAGACCACCGACTGAACCTTATTAAAATTTTGAATGTTTTTGTACATTTTCATATTATTGTATTCTGTGTTGTAATTGGACTGTAAAAAAGTGTATATTATTTTTGATTACAAATATTTGCACTGGAAAAATGATAAACAAAAGAAATAGTATTTTTCAATTCACCTCATACAAGAACTGTAGTGCAATCTCTGTCGTGAGCGTAATTTACAAACGTAGATTTTTTTTTTTGTTACATAACTGCACTCAAAAACAAAACAATGTAAAACTTCAGAGCCTACAACTCCACTCAGTCCTACTTCTTGTTCAGCCAATCGCTAAGACAAACAAGTTGGTTTACATTTACAGGAGATAATGCTACTTTCATCTTATTTACAATGTCACCAGAAAGTGAGAACAGGCATTTGCATTGCACTTTTGTAGCTGGCATTCATTGAATAATAGAAGATTAGGGTTGGCAGAGACCTCAGGAGGTCATCTAGTTCAACCCCCTGCAAATGGAATCATGTCTGGGAAGTGGTTCGAGCACACCTGTTCTCTAACCTAGTTGCAAACATTGTTTCCGTGTGTAGTGTAGGCTGAACCTTGGTGGTGGTTTGTCAGTTGTTTGAAGTCTTGGTCAGATCAGGCTTTGAGACAGCCTAAGAAACACTTCTACAGTCCAGTCTACCATGCAAACTGGAATCACATCCAAACCAGAAACAAACCTAGATTCACTCCGCTCCTGGGCCTCTCTCCAGTCTCACATTTTCTGTGCTTATGTCAATTACAAGTAAAACTCTAGCACATTGTGGGCACTTTCGCAGCCCCTCGGTGCCATCTGCCAGGCCGGGCTTTCAATAGGGAAGGATGCTGGCAGCTGATCGAGAGCACACCCGACCACAGATTGCTTGTTTGTACAGACCAAATGTTCAGCATAACCCCCCCCCCCCCCATTAGGTTTGGAATGAGAAATAAATGAGTTTTGCAGGGTTTTGTTTCATTCTCATCATAATACTTTGAACCTTATAGGGTAAAGACACAGTAAATGGACACAGCTAATAGTATTGAGCGCCTCTGTCATGCTTTTCATTCATAGATCTCAAAGAGCTTTGCAAAGGCAGATACATTTCAGTAGCCCTATTTTAAAGGGGAGGAAACTGAAAGTCACTTTGCGCAATGTCCTACAGCAGAGCTGTGGATAAAGCCCAGGACTTCTAGTCCAGTGTCCTAACCTGTAGCCCACACACATGGATGTTACTTTGTACACTCCACGGGCTGAGTATCTTTTCATGTTGATAGAATCCCTAGTGGCTCCCATCTTCTCATTGCTAGCACCTTCGATTACCAACGGTGAAGAGGAAACATCCCCCCAGCAGATTGCAAGAGTGCTTCTGCTAGAAATCTGCCACAGATTCAAGGTCCCACCCCTTGCTATTACTAATGCACTGATACTTCTGCAGCCCCTTCTGTCCATGGATCTCAACATGCTTTATAAGTGTTACAGTTACAGGGCAAATCCTGGACCTCAACATCAGTGGTTTGGCTGTTGTTTGGGTACCACCAGGAGAAGGAACCCTCAGACCAGAAGGGAGTTAATGCAGGGTGTGTCGATCAGCTGCTATTGGGATCTGGAGGAAGACAGGCTGGCTGATCTCAATTGTGACGTGTTCAGGGCTCAGGTAGAATAAGCTTTCATTCAGTAGTGTGTGAGGGTGGGTGGGTGCAGAGCCACAATCAGGCATATTTGCGCCCCCTAGAAGCGATGCAGAGTCCTGTGCCCCCGCGACCAGATTTCTGCCTTCCATTTAGCACAGAGGTTTGGGCACGCCCCACAATTTGAAAACCACTGTGCTAAATGGAAGACAGAAATTTGGGGGTGCGGGCCATGACTGCCCCCACATGCTGCCCCATTTTTCTGACCCCATGGCCTTGTGCCTTGGGCAGCTGCCCCGCTCTCCCCACCCCGCTTATGGCCCTGGGTGGGTGTGTAGGGGAAGCAGGAGGTGTGGCCAGATCAGACGTCACTGGCTGATAATGACAGGGTAGGAGCTGGGACAGCCGTGTAGCCTACATCAGGGCAATTGCAATGAACTCTCATGCTTTTACTTCTCTTTTACTGTCAAGCGCCCTCTGGTCTGTGCTAAGAATGCAGATTTCCAAATTTAAAAGAAAGGGCCTGATCCTGCACTCTTTATTCAGGCAAAATTCCCATTGATTCAGACAAAGGAATCAGTGGGAATTAGACCTGACTTTGGTGTAAAAGATGCCCGATGGGACCCTAATATCCCAATCAAATGAAAGGTACTGAACATTGCTGTTTGGACATCATGGGAGCATAGGGTGACCAGATGTCCAGATTTTATAGGGACAGTCCCGATTTTTGGGTGTTTTTCTTATATAGGCTCCTATTACCTCCCCACCCCCGTCCCAATTTTTCATATTTGCTGTCTGGTCACCCTATGACTAGATGACTCCATGTCACTCAGTCATCCACATGTAGGTCTGACATCTTTACTCCACTTTTATTTATCCCTTACTTGAGTTCCCATTGGATTTAGCCTCAGCTGGAGTTTGCCTGAGGGAAGGATCTTGGGCTCTGGCCCATCAGGTCTATTCCTCAACAGGATTCCTTTCTCTCTGCATGTGAGATCAGCCCCAGCTCTGCACGTCTCATAGCCAGAGACTTCCAAAAGGGGAAAGATTCTCACTCCCTCTGATCCACTTCTACTGCAGTGCTGCTGGAAAGTCCCTCAGTCGGCGTTTTGTGGGGGGCAAGGGGGCATAGGTTGGGAAAGATTTACCGCACGTGACTGTGGAGACACAGAGAGTGATAGACAGCATCTGCGTTTGACTTCCCCCTGCGCCAGCAAGTTAAACAATAACACTCTGCACTGGTACGTGTATCCAGCAACCCCTACATACATTCCCATGCCTCACACCCCTGCCTCACACCCACATTTGCTAGATGGGTAAACTGAGGCACAGATCATTGCTGGTGGTAATTCGGAGGGTGAGAACTAAGCCTAAGCACCTTTTTAAAGCCCAGCTTAAACCTGTTTTGAGGATCTAAGAAAGTGAGAAGAGGGTCAGATGGGGGGAGCAGAGGAAAAGAGAAAAGGGGAGAGCGAAAAATATTTTTTTCCAAAAGGAAGAGAAAACAGTTAAAAGGTAAGAGTTGAGAGGCAGGAGGAGAGGACAGAAAATGGAGAGATGGGAGGAGAAGCAATGAGATCACACACAATCCTTCCAGGATTATTTAATGTGTTGAGAGAGGGAGGGCTCCTAGTGATTGTTCTAACAATGCTGGCGTCACCTGTTGGCATAAAGAAGGAACGGAATCAACTGCTTGGTAATTTGCATAGGCTGGGTAGTCAAGTGGCTGCTGTGTTTTGGTGAAAGTGGGTTTGTTCAGCATTAAAAATGTTCGCAAGGGGGTTATTTGTATTTGGTCTGATCTAGGCAACATATCTGGAGAGGTGGTTTTGTTGCCCAGCATAATCACCCTTACTGTAAGGCCTTTAGGGTATGGACCCCTTTGTATAAACATGCTAGGGCTTTATCGGAACTAACTTTTAGAGAAGATGAGTTCAGCTGACTGTGTTCTAATAGCAGTCGGAATGCTGTTTGGAGCAGAGTCTGGATCAAAGCTAGGATTGGATTGGATTGGATAGAAGGAGACAAACCAGATCAGAAATTGTGAGTAGACCTATCTAGGAAATTGTTTCTCCATCTCTGAGAGTTTTTGACATCTTGATGAATTTTCCTACTCTAAACTGGGATGAGAGCTTGAAATCTTGATCTTTTTCATTGGCTAAAATACAAATATAGGTTTTGGGCTAACAAAAATGTTTTGTTGTGATTTCAACCTCTTCTTAATTACATCCACTGGCTTAAATTTTGAAACAAAATGGTTTGGAACCAGAATTTTTCTTTTTTTAAAAAACAAACCTTCAAAACTTTTTTTTTCCTTCAAAATTTCTTCACGTCAAAAAATTTTGTCAAAAATCAACCTTTTCCCAGGAGAAGTTTTGCTTTTGGTGACTCGGCATTCTCTGATGGGAAAAAATGTTTTGTCAAAAAATTCCTGACTAGCTCTGTGCGTTTGTGGGGAAGCTAGAAGCCTCCCTTCAGACCAGCCCCACAGTAATCAGATGCACATGCTGTGTCTTAGCCTGGGGGGCTCCCAATCTGTTCTGGTTCCCCCCTCCACAAATGGACAGCTGCATGTGTTGTAAGGGGCTTGCCTAACTCCCTAGTACTAGCTAGTGCTTTCGTTGGCAAGGCCATTGCTCTCCCTAGGGGCTGCTTAGCACAGAATTCCCCTTTACATCTGTGTTTCTCTGTTAGGAAAGAGGGAGATGGCACCTCCAGGTTGATTATTTCTGGGCAATGGGGCAAATGTGTGTTTCAGGCTGATTGTAGGCTGGGGGTAAGAGACATATGAAGTAACTTGTTTCCCCATATTGAGCCCAGAGTAGCATTAAAGTCCCTCCACGCTAGACGTGCGGCCTAATAGGAATTTTGATTACAGCTCAGAGAGCGGTGCCTGGTTTGTAGGGATTAATCTGAGACTTTTACACTGCTCCCAAACGCCAATGAGACATCATTAATGTTTCATTTTCCTCACTTGTTCTTTTAAAGGTTAATTAAGCACTGCTAACGGGGAGCGGAGCTAACGACTCTCACGCTGTCCTGACTTGACCTATGCAAACAGGAATGGCTTCAAAGTGGCAGGAGCTATTTTTGCTCTGAGGTGATGATATTCATGAGACTCTCATGTAGTCCAGCCATTTAAATCACTGTGGGCACATAAAGGCCGTTAAGTCTGGTTTTCTGACAGGGAGAGAAGTATCAGTTACCTCCTGCCTGAAAGGAACATCTCCAAGGTATGTCACTTTCTGGGGATCAACCTGAACTCCAAAGACCTTAAGAGCATCATTTTCAGTATAGATACAGAACTCCTTAAATATGATCTTTACGTACATTTTATAATGATCATGATGACCGGTGGGCAACTGGCTCTTGGTAGAGACCTCATATGCCACTCTATGGTGAACTGTTATGCAGCTATCCAACCCAAGGAATCTCTGTAATACCGTAGGCTCCCCCTGTGCCCTCTGCCAGTTGACACCAAGGGCTCCGTAGGTGTCACACCCGCCCAGAGCCCTCTGTCTTGTTCCTTTTCTAAAAGGCTGACGTTTAGAGTGGGTGGTCTGTAAAACTCTTAAGCAAACCATACCCCAGTAGGGAAGCTCATTCTCCTTCACCACCCATTGATGAAATTGGCAGACATCTACTTGCGTGCAGGACATGTGAAATCTGCTGCAGGATGAATATGCGGCGGTATAATAAAGAAAGGGAAAAGCTTATGAACGGATGGCTTGATCCAGAAACATGAGCTTTATTGTGGGAGCAACAAAGGTTGGGACTTGAGAGCCTGCCAGCTCTCTGTCTCGGCTGGTTCTTACACAGAACGTATTTTAACATGTCATGGAATAACTAACGCCGAGTTTGCAAGCTGCTGTGGGAGGCGATCTAGGAAAACAAGGCAAGACAGTTCAGGAGGTTGGCGCCTTTGGAATGAAATGTGGAGCCTTTCACATGGACGTCCTTGGCTCAAATGTAAGGCAGGCTGGAAGCTAGTGACGGAAAGTTGTTGCTCTCTGGCTTTTTGGTAGCAATTAAACCAGTTGTCTCTAGGAAACCGCTTCTACGTTCCCATTTTCTGTCCCCATAGCACAATTAATCAGGCTACATTTGGGCTGGCTTTGCAGCTCGGGGACCTTCCCTGGTTGAGCCAGTCTATAAAGTGGTGTAAGTGAGACAGATTCCTGGCACGTATTTAGAAACAGCTGCACATGGCATTTCACTGAGATGGTGGATCAGGCTGATGAATGTACAGAGATGTTTGTTTGTAACCTTTTATTAGGAAGCAAGATAG